CCAGGTTAAGTCAGGTGTGTACATAGAACCTTAAGCCAGGTGGGCCTAAGGAAGGCCTCCACAGGAGTATGTGTTTCTTCAGCCAACAAACATTTGTTGAGCACCTACTTGGCCAGGACTTGTGCTAGATATGGGCTTTAGAAGGATTGAAGGGACCTCTAATAATGGACAGGTACCATGTTTCCAGGATTGCAAAACAATACAAGAGCTTTTACAGGTAGAGGGCCCTCGGTACCACATCCAGTGGAGCGTGTTGATTGACAGACTTGTGTTCTTGACTGCCTAGACCAGTGGTGGCGAACCTATGGCACACATGCCACAGTGGGCTTGCAGAGCCCTCTCTGTTGTCATATCGCCCTAGTATAGCCCCAGAAGTCAAGCATTTAGGTTTAATTGCAGAGTTGACACTGTGGAATAAAGAAGTGGGTTTTGGAGGGCTGGGGATAAAGCTCAGTGGTGCCACACCTGCCTGGCAAGCATAAGGTCCTGAGTTTGATTCCCGGTACTGAAAAATTAAAAGATAAAAAATAAGTGGAGGGCTGAGGATTTAGTTCAGTGGTTTCATCCTCTGCCTTGCAAGCATGAGGTCCCAAGTTTGATCCCCAGTTCCAAAAAAAAAAAAAATTAGGTTTTGGGTTGTCGTTTGGACGCTCAGTCTCTGAAAGGTTCGCCATCACTGGTCTAGACCCTTTGGTTCATTTGGGTATCTTTTGAGGTCTTGCTTCACGATTCATCTCAGGACCACTCTTCACAGGAGCCTCAGTTATGGCACTGGGAACTTAAAGGAGCTGGGTGAGTCAGGTCAGTGTTGTCCTTAGAAAACTGAATCTGTGAGTAGCATCCAGTTAGGGGAGTCATTTGGTTGTCCCTCCTCAATGACTGATTTTGGAACCAGGGGAGTTCTTTAGCCATAGTGCAGTGGAGAGTTTGAAGGAAAGAAAAACATTAGTTGGGAAATGCTTTCACATCCCAGCTAAAAGTTTCAGAATAGGAAGGTATTAAATGTCCTAAAGGGTGGGGGTGGCATTCTTTAAGCCCTTGCTAGCTGCTTTCCTGTTAGGGAACCCAGCTGCTGCTGTCAAGGGCCAGTGAGGTTGGTGTCATGTCCATTAGACAAATCAACACGACTCAGATGAGGGGATTAACCCCAGACCCATCTTTTGAATACCAAGCTCCAGTACATGCCCCAAGTCGTCTTGCTGTACTCGGGACCATTCACACTCCTCTGATGGACTAGGTGAAGTCAGACAATATTTGTAAGGATGTTTGTGTATGAGGGAAATAATAGGCTTAGGATCTGAAACCTAAAAAGAACTAAAGCCAAAACTTGGCAGATGTAGTAACCAAAAACTAGTCTGATAAAGTGTGAAGGTGATAACGGAGCAAAACAGGGTTGGAAGTAATCGAAGTTGGGTGTGTGTGTCACCAGATTTGTACACCTGTCCCTCAGAGATGGTCTCTAAAGGGTATATGATTGCTTCTTGTTGGAAGTGTGGTGGAGAGACTAGAAAAGGGGAGCTAAAAGGGAATGGAATATGAAAAACAAGTCTTTGTAAATAGGGGTGGAGGGGTTGAAGGGAGGTCAGGAGAATGGGGAAAAAATAAACCGAGAGATTATGTAAGGGTGCAAATTTCTAATGATGAGTGTCATTATATTGTATACCTAAGATGTACCAGTAAAATTTTAAAAAATTATGAACATTCAAGAAAAAGGGGAGCTATGTTTTCTCCTTTAACTGCTGGAAAGAGATGCAACTAGGGACTGTTGATTGCGTAGGAACCAACAAGAAGTGTGATGGGAGAAGGTTTGAAGACATGCAGCAGATCTGCCCAGTGCTGGCTTTGGGATTCCTCCTTTGTTCAAAACACTGGAGTCACTTGAATGTTGACTTGTTTCTTTAAAAGTTTTAAATCTTAAAACATTGCCAGAAATAACTAAAAAATGCATTAAGTCTAAATAAAACAAATACTGTGAAGGCTACAGAAGAAAATTTGAACAGATGGAAAAATATACCAACTCTTTGAACAGATGCAGGTCAACTTGAAGCTACTAGTTTGCAGTTATATTAACAATTGTAATGTCATCATAATACAACCAACAGGCTTTATAAAACACTGAAGTTGGGCCAGGGATTTAGCTCAGTGGTTTCGCCGCCTGGTACACAAGCGCAAAGACCCGAGTTCGATCCCCGGTACCAAAAAAAAAAAAATTTAAATTTAAATTTAAAAAAAACCACAAGTTTATGTGAGGGAAAAATAATAGCTGGAAGATAAGGGACCAGGGATAAATGGTGTGTTTAATCCCAGCAAATACTAAAACTAATTATAGAACTAAAAGTGTCATTTTGGTAACATGAATTGACAGGCCAGTAAAGCAGAGTGGAAAGTCTGGAAATTGACTCAAATATAAATATATATATATGACAATTTAGTATGATAAATGTGTCACCCAGAACCAGTGAGGAAAAAAAAGATGGGCTTTACAGTCAAGAGTGTTGGAATTACTTGGTAACCTTTGAGAAAATGTAAAGTCCCTATACCTCACACCATCAGCCAATATATATTTTTAGTGCATTAAAATCTAAATGTAAGAGAAAAACTAAAAACACCAGGAGGAAATGTGGGCAATTTCTTTAAATCCATGGGGGATGTGGAAAGTCTTCCTAACTTGAACCCCAGATCCAGGAGTCACAAGTGAAAGTTGATCAAGTTTATGTAAAACAAAATTTTAAAAGTCTTTAAGGGGGCTGGGGATTTAGCTCAGTGGTTCTGCCACCTGCCCCTCAAGTGCAAGGTCCCAAATTTGATCCCTGGTACCAAAACAAAACAAAAAATAAAAAGTCTTTAAGATTAAGGTCCCAAAACACCATAAGCCAAGTTGAAATTCTATAGACCAAACACACAAAAAAATTTTAAAGGAAAGAAAAAAAAGCTTTGCAGCTCAACTCTAAGGGCTAATACATAAAGAACTCCTGGAAACTAATATGACAAAGACCGATGGCCCAGTAGAAAAATAAGCTAAGTGAATGCAGATAGTTCTGAAATACAGGAAGAATTCTTAACCTCATTCATGAGAAATACAAAAATAAGACTTTTTTAAACAAGCTGGTTAGTAAAAATCTCAGTGTTAACACATCACGTTGGCAGTGCTGTGGGAAGCAGGCATTTGTACCAGTCCAGTAGTGGGAATGTAAACTGCGAAGACTTCTCTGAAGAGCAATTTGATAGTATGTGTCAGAATTTTAAAATGAACATATTCTTGAACTGGCCACTCCATTTTTTCTGGACAAGTTACTGTTCCTCTCCTGTACTAACCCCATAGTGTTGTGAGAGTTGAGGGAGATGAAACGCAGAAAGCACTTGGTACAAGTTCAGGGAACTTGGGAGGGAGGTTCTCCCAGACTGTTGGCTAGTAATACAGTAAGGAACAGCCATGGGGTTCTTACACTGCCATCTTGTCACACTGCGATTGATAACTTCTCATGTATTATTTAATTCTCCAACCAACCCCATGAAATAGGTACTGCTGATTATCGATCACCAGTTAGCCTCTGAGGAGACAGACACAACAATGGGAAGGGGGGTTGTAGAACAGAATTCAAGCCTAAACAGATGTCCATGCCTGCAGTGAGGTGAGAGTGTGTTGAGTGCTGTAGGAACATGGGTAAGTGCATACGTTGGTAGTATCACACTACCCAAGGGGCCATATATATATATTTTTTTTCTTTCTCTCTTTTCTTCTCTTTTTTTGGTGGTATAGAGATGGAGGAACCCAGGACCTTACTTGTAAGCGCTATACCTCTTAGCTACCCCATCTCCTGGAACGCATGGGGCCTTACTGGTTTTTGAGGGAAGAAGTGGCTTTCAGACAAGGCTCTCCTACTTTCAAGTTCAGTAATCATGGGCCAGTGTTGTTTGTTTTGTTTTAATCCACTTTCAATCCATCTCCTGATGTATACTGAGGTATTACCAACTTTAAGAGTGGTTGTGAAGATTAAAAGAAATGAACACAGCAAAGCGCTCAGGTCCTCACAATCTGTGCTTGCTGAGGTGAAATGAACCAAAGTAGAAAGGGCTTGAGGTGTAGTGTAGTGCAAGAGCACTTCCTAGCATATACCAGTCCCCAGGTTCGATCCCAAACACCACCACCACCAAAAAAAGAAAACTTGGATGGGTTGGAGCAAGTTGGGGGAAGCATTCTATGAAGAGGGAACACCATATTCCAAGGCTACAGAACCATAAAGAGCCTAAAGAATCCAGGAAGGGGAGTGTGAGGCCAGGGGGCGGTTGATGGAGGGGGTGGTGGCAGATGTCCTTGAGGATCCGCTAAGAAGCTTGAACTATTTAATAATAAAGATAAAATGAAGAGAGCCACCATTTGTTCAAGGTTTGCTATCTAATCCAATTGTGCTGGGCGTGGTGGTACACGCCTGTAATCCTAGCTAGCACTTGGGTGGTGAGGTAGGAGGAGGATGGACGGAGGTTTGAGGCCTGCCTAGGCTACACAGTGAGTTCAAGTCCAGCCTGAGCTACATAACTTATCAGTTCTGTGTTTAGAAAGATCCCCTGCACCATGCGATGTATGGATTCAAAGATGCGCTGGTGAGCTGCTTTGAATTTCAGATAGATTTTTTAAATGATTATAATTTTTCTTTTACTTCACAATTCATACTGCAGAAAATGATAAATACAAGAAAAAAACATAAAAGACTAATTGTATCTTCCAGAGACATCCCAGTTGATACTTTTCGGGTCTTTTTTCTCTGCAAAAAACATAGAATGGCTGATAGGTGGAAGATGGAAAGCGGCTACAATTAAGCGTTCCTGATATTCTCTTTTCCTCTCCGTTTTATTAGGATCAAACCCAAAGGAGAGGCCAGTTTCTCACCACGCTTCCGGGAAAGGTGCCCAGTGCTCCGCGCCGCGACATTCATTTGCCACTCACGCCGGGCTCCAGGTGGCGCTTCTGTTAGACGGGGCGAGTGGGAAAGAAAGGGACGCGAAAACGCGATTGAGTTTGGGTACCGCCGCTGCCCGTAGCCGGCGTCTCCAACATGGCGGCTCCCCAAGATGTCCACGTCCGAATCTGTAACCAAGAGATTGTCAAATTCGACCTGGAGGTGAAGGCACTTATCCAGGTACTAATTTGTGGGACTTCCGGGATCCAGGAGTCCTACCTCAGATATCTCTGTCCTCCTGTGAGCTCGGTGGTTTTACTTCCGAACTTTCCCCAGGCCACTGGCTCCGCCTCAAGGCCAGATACTCTATTTTCCCCATTTGGTCTGGTCCCCCCTTATTTCTTCCTTAGGTTGCCATTGGCTCACTTTCTTATGAGGCACCCTCATAACCCCTTCCTCTCACCTGACTGCCCCGTAAAGGTCCCTCTTGATCCCTTCCATCCCCACTCTCGGCTGTCGTCCCGCCCCCGAGCACCTCACAACACACCTATCACCCACCTGACACCTCCTTCCCCTTCATCTGGTAGCGTCCCTGAGATCATTATCTCGCCCTCTGCAGACCAACTCTGGTGCGTCCGGTGTCCCGTGAACCCAAGGCTACCTGTCACAGGAGTCATTGGCTATTGTGAACATAACCTGAACTTTAGGGGTTTTTTTGTGAATGAAGAAATCGAATAATGCACCAAGGACTGGGTCACAAGGCAGACAGTACAAAATTAGTACCCAGATGGGGAAAGTACCCCAAGGAAAAACATCTTAGAATGTCTCTATTCCGTTTAACAGATGGGGAAATGAGATGCTCCATCTTAAGCCATTTAAAGGTAGAAAACAGTAGTGCAGCAAACAGTTGACATAGGCAAGAATTAGGAATGTAGATATGGCTCACGAGTTTAACAAAAAGAAACCGAGAGTTTTAAAGCTTGGTTTTAAACAAACTGTTTCCCTTTCCAACAAAAGTCACTAAACATTAGATGTAGACTCAGAGTTTGCAACAGACTGTGGCAAAATGTGAAGCAAAGTAGGTTTCCCCTGGTAAACCAGATACAGAATAAGTCAAATTAGTGGCTTATAATATACTACAAGGAACTGTGCTTTGATAGGCCAGAAAACAAATGAAGAAACTAATTTCTTGAATTCACTTCTTGGACATATAAACTGCAAAACTCTGGGCCAATCCTAGGAAAATAAACATCGGATTGAATTTATACAAGTGAAATTGTCAGAGGCTGAGGTTGTAGTTCAGTAGTAGAGGTCATGCTTAGCATGTGCAAGGCCCTGGGTTCAGTCCCCAGCACAGATGACAGATGTGCATGTGTACACACATGTACACGCACACAATTTACTTTTATACATCATTCTAGCATTCAAGTTCTTCTGATTACTAAAGAGCAAGAGTGATCAATTATAACTAGATGTATTACATTCTTATAATGTCCCAGCTGCTCTGCTAAGTGCTTTAGATATATGATCTTGAGGGAGCTAATATGAGAGGCACAGAGAATTTAACTTTTTTTAGGGTTGCACAGCTATTAAGTTGCTACATCAAAGATTTGAATGCACATAGTCTGGCTCTAGAGCCTGCTATAAAACTTAGCCCCGTACTTTTGAATTTGTTTACAGAAACAAGTTCTAAATCTACCCTTACACAAGTCTGTAAACAAACAGTGATGTGTAAAAGATGGCTTGTAAAATCAGACTAAATTAATCTTGTCATATATTGCCAGTAATTTAAGCATCCTGATTTTCAAGTTGGAAAGATCTGGAGTTATACTGTCACTTTTGGATGTCCAGTCTTATTGGGCATGTAAGCCACTTTAAGTCTTTCATACTGGCCAGGTCATGATTTGTTAAACTTTAGGGACTAATATAATTTAGGTAAAGTTGTGTTTCTTTCAATGCACTTATTATTTTTTTTTTTTAGAGGCAAGCACTCTATCATTGAGCTAAACCCCCAGCCTGCTCTATATTTTCTGTTCAGCATTAAAGAGGGATGTGAAAAATTTAAATAATGTTTTTGTTTGTGTTGCAGAGGTAAACACCATAGATCAGGATGAATTATAGTCAGGCCAACCTTAGTTGTGGTCTAAGTCAACTTTCTTACTGTACAGATGATGTCATTTCATTTCATTGCCTCCAGAAAGGCTCCTCATCTCTTCAATATCTCCTAGGATATTCGAAACTGTTCAGGACCCTTAAGCACACTTACAGAACTGAATACTAATGTGAAAGAGAAGTTTCAACAGTTACGACACAGAATACAGGTGAGTGTGATTGCAGAACCATGATTCTGAGATGGATAACAAAGAAGGGGACTTGGTTGTGAGAATAAAACTCTATTTGAGAGCTCTCCAGGTTCTTCAGATACCAGCTGGAGGGAGTAGTAGACAGTGAAGGTGACTCTATAACCAACCTGTTCTTTATTTATAATTGAGCGACTTGAATGCAGATTGGAATTTTTCAACTTGAAAACCCTGAGGGCACTTCCACCTATTTTTTTCACCACTTTCTCTAACCCTTTCACTCATTCCTCACCTCAATCCATCAGTAGCATCTTATGGGTGTTTTTGTGCTGTCACTTTGCCCAGAGTCTCTCTGTTTCTGAAGTCATCAGTCACATATGCACATTACCACATCTGAATTCAAGTATGGTGTATGTGCTGTCTCAAAACTAGCGAAAAGAACCAGTTTAAATAACAGAGGCATTTTTACTACTGTGCCATCATGAGAGTAAGATGGCAGTGTGGATCTGGCTGTCTTGAGGTGGCTCTGGAGGTGTTGGTCTTGCAGCATGTGGTAAAGACTTCGTATGACATGGCCCCAAAAGCCAGCCAACAACTTTGTTGGTGCCTGTCAGATGAAAATAATCTGTCCCAAAGTTGGCCAGTTGGGCTGCTGAGGAACAGTATGTCTGTGTCCTGTGTGTTACCTTCCTAAGGGATTTTCAGGGCAATTTGAAAATAGGCAATTTTCGCCACAGGAGTTAACTCTAGAATTTTAGCACTGTCACTACACTTAGCTGAGCTCTTTCTGTCTTCACCTCTAGCACTGATTTAATAAGCTTAATTTTTATTCATTTATTTATTTTTACTTTCTGCAGTATTGGGGATTGAACCCATGGCCTTATACTTGCTAGGCATGTGCTCTACCACTGAGCAGCATCCCCAGCCTAATTCTAAATTTTTGAAAGAGTGTTATTTTCACGTCATGTATTATATGTGTGTGTATACACAATTATTAGCATACATGAAAAGTCTGTGTGCTTCTTATTCTCTGTAATAAACAGCTAACCACTTTCATTTGTAACCATATATTTTTCCAGAGTTTCTCTACTCAAATTCTTATCTAAAAGTTAGCATACTATAATACTACCTTTCAAAACAATGTGTAGTAGAAGACTTTGCATACTTGTACCCAGAGACGTTCCTCACTCTTTTTGTATAGCCATCATTTTTGTAACTGTTACTTTATCAAAGGACAATTATGTGGACTGCTTCCACATTTTTGCTTTTTAAAGCTAATTTTTATGTTATGTACGTGTACCAACTCCCCACAATGAGTGTAATCATTATGTACTGCAAACGTACTAATAAAAATTTTTCAAAAAACCTAATTATTTTCTATAAAGCCTTTCTTCAACTCAGCATGATTTAAACTCTTCAGTTATACACACCGCCTTCAGTATGATTATTTCCTTGTATTTACTTACATGCTTGCCTGATGTTTACTTCCTTCACTAACTTAAATTACTTCACCATTACATTTACATATTTATTGTGCTCCCTGCTTCTGATTGCTTTAGCTCCCTAAACACAAGTGGGGGCTGGCATCTAGCAAGTTGATAAGCATATGGTCAGTGAATGAATGACTGTCCCAGTCCTTTTTATGTTTTTGTTTTTCTTTTGTGTTACTGGATTGATTCCACGGCCTTGCTCGTGCTAAGCAAGCACTCCACCACCAAGCTTTTAAAGTTTTTTTATTTTTAAGACATTCTTGCTAAGTTGCCTGGGCTGGGTTTGAATTTGCCATCCTCCTGCCCCATTCTTCTGAGTAGCTGGGATTACAGATGTGTGCCACCAGGCTCAGCTCCCATCCCACTTTGAATCTGCATTTCCTAAGTATTTGCATACTCTTTATACCTGGAAATATATACAAGGTTTCTGTTTGATATTTTTAGCTCTAATATGAATATCTTTTGTGTATTTGTAACAAGATTGTATGATACAAGAAGATAATTGGCCTCATATCACCAAAATATGCTGTTCAATATATAGTCATTGTTGGACATTGACTGTGTGTAAATATCTCTATTTGCATCTGTCTTTGGGCATATGGTTCTCAAACTGGAATTTGAGAATTACTGTATCCCCTTTCTTTTGTACAGAGCTAGTGGTGATTCTTGGCACCAGAATTTCCAGGAAGTCTTTGATGAGGAAATTATGCATTTCTCCTTCCTTTCCTCCCTCTATTCCCCCTTCATTGTGGGGATCCATTCTTCCCTTCAATGATTCAGTGCCTAGTATGTGCCAAGCATAAGGAGTAAATATAGTGAATAATCCTAGGAACAGCTCTGCTTTCAGTGAGCTTGCATTCTAGTAGAGAATATAGATTTTAAAGAAATAATTATACAAATGATTGATGACATTTGCAAAAATTTTTCATTTCACCGTCAATTTTTTCTTCTTTTTTGTGCCTTAGCAATATTTAGGAGGATAAATTTGAAATAATATCTGAGCTATTGAAATGTAGATACACATACTTGTTCCAAATCAATACATAGAAATTATTATATAAATAATTTAGTATCTAAGTGAGCTAATACATTTATATTTTAGGTCAATAGCTTGATTGAAACTAGAACTTTTTAAAATCTGTAAACAAAACTATATGAAGAGACTTGAGGTGTCTCTTCACCTCTAGTGTGCTTGATGGTTCCATAATCTAAAGTTCTTTGGGGTCTCATACTACTGGTTTTCACCTCTGCTGCCCCTCACTCATGGTAGGTTGTTTCTCTGGTGTTTGGTTATTTTTCAGGACTGTGAGCACTCATTTTCTACAGGCCTTCCTGTAACACTGTGTTGCCTGAGTCCAGAGCAAGTCCTTCAGGGGTTTTCATATTTGCTTCTGCCAGGTCCCCTGGGATTATCAGAAGTCTGGAGAAACTTTTTATGTAAATTTCTCTTCATGGAGCTTCTGAGCTACTCAAGGAAAATAAACCTCCTATCAGTTTCAAAGAATCTTCTTGACTATAAATTCTGAGGAGAGATTTTTATTTTTACCCCTCTAACCAAAAACCACAGCCCAAAATAGACACTCTGCTAATGGATGGACATTTTCCTAGACCATTTTCCTGAGGGTATAACCTTTTATGGGTCCTAGATTATTGGTGTTCTCACTTCGAATTCTCAGCCTCAGGTGGTGTGAAGCTTCATTGTGAAGCTTCATTTTCCTGTCCTACCTGACCTTTCAAACCCTCAAACTATTTGTAGCTGATCTCTGGTGAAAAAAGTACACAAATTGAGAGTATTTACTTTTTTTTGCTTTGTTTGTTTGTTTGTTCATTTTGAGACAGGGTCTCACTATGTAGCCCAGGCTGGCCTTAAATTCTGTGTAGCCCAGGTTGGCCTTGAACTTGCAGTGATACTCCTCCCTCAGCCTCTTGAATGCTGGGGTTACAGGCAAAGAAAGAACATCTGGAAACATGATTGCTTGTTGTTCCTGTGATATTAAGTATGGGATCAGTGGGCTAATATTTTTAACTTCTTTTTATTTCAAACATACCTGAAATTGTAGGAACTGCACCTCCTACTCTAGGGTAGCCATGTATTACTCACGGACTGACCACTGTGGCTCTTAGTTCCCTTCTGTCTTTTTGTCCTAGGAATTTTCCTTACCTGCTTGTAAACTGAGCTATGTATTTAAAAGGATATATGTTATATATTATGTAGCATTCCTGGGTATCCTGTTTTAAAAGGGTACTTCAAATGTAGCTGTGTGCCCTTGCTAGAAATAGGAGCGCTTTTCTGTTTTCATGTTGGCTTTTAAAATCATTTTAACATGGAGCTATTTTCTCCTCAAAGGAGCTTGAGCAGTTGGCTAAGGAGCAAGACAAAGAGTCAGAGAAATACCTTCTACTCCAGGAAGTGGAAAATCACAAAAAGCAGATGCTCAGGTAGGCCTGGCCTCCTTTCAGTTGCCTCTACAGGGTCACTTGCTCCCTAGTGTATGTGTTTGCCTATTAAACCTGGTTCATTGGTGACTTAATTGTATCATTTACACATAGGCTGAATGTTCTCTCTAGATCAGTAATTCTCAAACAGAGGAAGAGGAGGGATAAGCAGAGCTTACATGGGGAGTTGGAGCTGTGCGTAGTTTGCAAAAACATTTAACATACTGTATTTTACATTTTTGAAAAAAAATGGATCAATTTTATCTAATAATAATTTGTACTAAAAAAAGTCCCTTGAAAGTAAACCTACTTGGGACCAGGGATTTAGCTCAGTGGTTCCAGCACCTGCCTCAAAAGTGCAAGGTCCCAAGTTCGATCCTTGGTACCAAAAAAGAAAAAAAAAGAAAATGAACCTACTTAAGACGAACCAAAATTTAGAAGGTTTTGAATAGAATGTTATCTGGAAGATGACACAAAAAAATGTAAGTAAATAAACTTATGTTAAACAAATTTGAAAGTTTAATTGCAGCTGTGCTGATCTTTGATTCTAAAACTACAGCTATATGCTATTTCTTGATTTTGAATAGGAAAAGGTATAACTTTCCAACACAGTTGTCTTACAACATGAAATAGTACCTTTCTCTTCACACTTGACTTTTGTATCATAATCATAAGAAGAGGTTTTTTTTTTTTTTGATACTGGGGATCAAACTCGGGACCTTGCCCTTTTGAGGCAGGCGGCGGAACTACTGAGCTAAACCCCCGGCCCAAGGAAAGTTGTTTTTGCAAAACTATTAAGAATTCATATAAAAAATGCAAATATGAATATGCTTTTGTTTGGTGCTGGGAATTAAACCTAAGGCCTTGTGTATTAGCATGCACTCTACTACTGAACCATAACCCCATTCCCCATGTACTTTCTTTTAATTATTTCCAGGGATAGAGACCAATGTTATTATTGATACTTTCAGAATATTTAATTTATATTTATGACTTCCTCAGCTTTCCCAGTCCACTGGTATTCAGGTCATTCTCTTTTGAAGCCCCTGCTGTCTCAGCATTCCCATAGATTTTTTTCTTTGTTCTTTTTCTTTTGAGGGAGGGAACCTGAGGTTTAAACTCAGAGCCTTTGCACTGAGCCACATCCCCAACCCAATTTTTATTTTTTACGTTAAGACAGAATCTTGCAAAGTTGCCCAGGCTGGTCTTGAATTTAGGATCCTCCTGCCTCAGCCTCCCAGAGTGCTGGAGCCCTGTGCCACCAGGCCTGGCTTCTCTTTGTCCTTTGTTCATTGCTCTAACTGTTTGTGACCTTGCTTCTGAGTTGAGTAATCCTCCAGCATCATCCTCACTGACAACACCTGTGTATAACACCCAGTCATCGGGAGATGACTGACAAACATGGGCATGGTGGAACCCAGTGAGAGCAGTGAGGAGTGTGAATGATGAGCATTGCTCCAGTACTTGCCTCATTAGTGATTCCTTTGTGTTATGATGGCAGTTTCTTTCCTATGCCACCAAGGGTACTCAGATCATAAACATGGAGTAGAGAGGGGCACTTGTAATAAATTATAGTAAGTACACCAGACACAATCTACTTACTGTGCCCTTAAGGCTGAGAATGGGCCAGGGGTGGTGGTGCATACCTGTAATCACAGCACTCAAGAGGCTGGGGCAGGAGGATCGCTGTGAGTTCAAGGCCAGTCTGAACTACATAGAGAAACCTTGTCTCAGAAAAAAAAAAAAAAAGCTGAGATTGACTATTCATGATGTGGAGTTACAGGTTAGAAGAGAAAAAGCAATAGATTAATACTTGGCCAGGAGTGTGTTATACTAATTGTGCTTGCTTAGGTTATCATGCTTGTCACACCATCTGTTTGCTTGTCTTTCTTCCTAGTAAATGTGAGCCTCTTGAGGGCAGGCACTGTCACTTATTCATCTCCCCACCCTAAGGCCCTGTGCAGCTCCTTTGCAAACAGTTTAAAGATGTAATTGATTCTTTTTCAATGGCAGGTATGAAATGGCATAGCAGGTGCTGCTCAGGCATCAGAGCCCATTTGAAGACCTTCATCATAGAAGTGCTATTAGAAAACTACTTACTGGGCTGGGGATTTAGCTCAGTGGTTCTGTCTCCTGCCTTGTAAGTGCAAGGTACCGAGTTTGATTCCCAGTACCAAAAAAAGAAAAGAAAACTACTTACTAATGTTCATGTACTCTGTTTTATTTTCATTTCATTCATTCATTCATTTTGTGGTGCTAAGTAAGGATCAAACCCTGGAGGCCTTGCTCATGCTAGGCAAGCACTCTTATTACCGAGCTGTAGCCCCAGTTCCATTTTCTTTTTCTTTTTTTTTGGTACTGGGGATCGAACTCGGGACCTTGCGTTTTCGAGGCAGGAGGCAGAACCACTGAGCTAAATCCCTGGCCTGCCATTTAATTCTTGAATATTTCCAGGGATAGGACCATTGATTTGAGCTGGCAGTGTAAGAGTTCTAGGGCATGAGTTTGATTCACAGGGGGATACAATTAGCTTCTTAGAGTCTGTCAATAAAGGCTGTATTGCTAGCCTCAGGAAGCTGCTCAACAAATTTTAGTTGGCACTCCCAAAAGAGATTAGGTAACAATTGTGAATAAATCTTGTCAATTGGGACCTTGCTGATACCCTATGTTTATATTGTCCATGATTGGTCTTTAGTATATAAAGAACAGCAAATCTTGGAGGAATATTGAGAAAGATTGGCTTTTGTGGGTTTTTTTACTTCCTAGGGCAACATATATTCATGGAGTAGCTAAAGGGCTAGAAATGGTAGTTCTAAGTACTGGAGGTGAAGAGATGAGTAGTAAGTTGTGGTTCTCAAGGAATGGCATGTCCAGGACCTTAGAGGTATTTGACAGAATGAAGCCTCATGTACCCAGCTGGGTGGTTTGGATCTTACCCTGAAGTCTGGAGCCATTGTGCCAGGTCCCTATGTCTTCTAGATGCCTGAGCAGGGAGGGATGACAGAATATCCTGGAGACAGCTTCCGGGATCCAGAGGAGAGGTGTTAGGACCTGAGGTAGAATAGTTGCTGAGGCAACCCAGAAGAAGTGTCAGGAAGTAGGGATGGCTACACTGCAAGGATGAACTATTGTGACTGGAACTAATAACCTGATGGAGCCAACAGAAATTCACCATGACCCCTCTCTTCCAGCAACCAGACCTCATGGAGGAAAGCCAATCTCACTTGCAAAATTGCAATTGACAATCTAGAGAAAGCAGAGCTTCTCCAGGGAGGAGACCCCTTACGGCAAAGGTATCTGTCCTTTCCTGTTTCTGGGCTCTGATAACAGGATAGGTAAAATTGACATGAAGTAAAACCCTCAATAGGGAGCCCCCTCTTGCTTTCAGCATAAGTTTGTACTTTATTATTATATAAGTAATACTTTTTCAAGTAAATTGGTAAAATAAAGAAAAATATGAATTACAAAATGAAAATAGGCTATTCTCTTATTATTCATGAACATTTCGGTACATTTCTTCTCTGTGTTATTTTTCCTTCCAAATTTTTTACAGCCAAAATTGTACCATGTATAAAGCTTAGTATCTTATTCTTCTATATTCAGTATTATAGCAGAAAGCCTTGCTTGCTTTTTAAAAAAACTTTTTTTTTTTTTTGGTTTTTTGAGACAGAGTCTCACTGTGTAATTCTGACTGGCCTTGAACTTGCAGCCATCGTCCTGCCTCAGCCTCCTGAGTTCTGGGATTACAGCTATGTGCCACCACGCCCAGTTTAAAAACTCTTTAAACATAATTTTAACAGTCCATAGTATATGATTGTATTAATTAGTCTCCTGTTTGTATGTGTTTATGTTTGTAGTTTTTCAGTATTTTAAGTAATGCACCAGAGCAGGTCTTTTATCCACGTTTTGGATCATTCCTTTGGAGAGATTTCCAGGGATGAAATTATTGGGTCAAAAATAAATAGTTCTAAGTCTCCCAACAAATTGCTTTGCAGACAGTAACATCAGTTTCCATTCCTACTAGAAGTTCACAAGAATGTGGTCTCGCACATACACTTAGCAACACTGACAATGAATGTGTACTAATATAATAGGTTAAAAAAAAATGACTCTCATTTGATTATAGGGCTTTTTTTCTTTCATTTTATGGTTCCGGGGATTGAACTCAGGACCTTGTGCTATCGAGGCAGGTGGCGGCACCACTGAGCTAAATCCCCGGCCTGATAGGGCTTTCTTGAAACAAGGCTTTTGTTAACATTCCTCCTTCCTCCTTGGGACTTTTAGGAAAACTACCAAAGAAAGCCTGGCCCAGACGTCCAGCGCGATCACAGAGAGCCTTATGGGGATCAGCAGGATGATGTCGCAGCAGGTCCAGCAGAGTGAGGAGGCTATGCAGACTCTAGGTAAAACTGAGGCTGGAGTGGGAAGCTTTGCCAGAGATACTGGCCCCAGAGCATTTGCCCTACCCCCTGTGCCCACCTGACGCTTCCCAAATTGTGTGGCATCTCGATCATAAGATATCTTAAACCTGGGCCCTACACGGAGTGGAGTGTGCTGCTCTCATCTCTCCTTTGGTTATTACAGTTCTGGAAGACCCTACATTCCATCATGTTTCCCAGTGGAAACATTCCCATGGCACAGGTGAAAAGCAGAAATCTCTAGGCCTGTGATTGAGTGGGTGTTGGCAGCACTGGGCAAGGCGCCCGGGAGGAAAGACCCCTAAGGAGGAGAGGTTTATTTTGGGTCACAGTTTGTGGGGATTTCAGTCCATAGTCAGCTGCCTCCAAGGCAAGGTGGTCTGGCAGTGGGGCATGGTGCAGGAGAGATAGCTCATGGCATGGTGATGGGAAGCAGAGAGAGTATGGAGGAAGGAGTAGGGAAGAGATAAACCCTTTTAGGCCACGCCCCCAGTGACCCACTTCTTTTGACTATAGCCCACTGCCTAACAGGGAGTCACCTGTAAGTCGCCTCGTCCATTTACCTCCCAAAGCCCCGCCAAGAGCACATGAGGCTTTGGTGGACATCTACTTATAAACCATAACAATCTTGGTATGTCTTTCTTTAAAAAAAAACCAAATCAAAAGACCCCTCCAAAAAAAAACCCCAACAACTAAGGGTCTCTTTGGAAAAAAATAAAAAGAACCATAATACCATTATCACCCCAAAAAATTATCTATAATTTTTAACTGCTTTATTTTTTTCATTGCTCCATTCACACAGACAGAAGGAAAAGGAAAGCAAGCTGAGTGTCTTGAGGCTACTTCTTTTGTTTGGCACTTGCCTGAGCATTTAGGCTCAGCACCAGCCAGTCCCCTCTTCCAAGCCTGTGCCTTGGGAGGAGGCTGGGAGAAAGGGAGAATGAGGAGGCAGCTGGACTTTCATTTCAGGTCAAGAGCATTTATACTCTGATGTGAATGAAAAGGAAACACAGACGCTGATGGTTTCTGGAGTGTGGAGAGGGCCCTGGTGTGAAGGTTGTTCTTGGACACATTTTATAGAAGAAATAGCTGTTGAAGAAAAAGAAAAATGTAATTCATAAGCCTGTCCTTGATTAAAATCCCCTCAGGACCTCAGTTTAAAAGCAAAAAAGCCTTTAGGGAAATGAATCTGCTACAAAAGGGTAGATGTGAGGGGAATGAATTAGGCTAGGGAGGGGCCGGCATTGCTGGAGGGTTGGCAGTTCTTGGGTGATAGGCATGTAGCATTTCACGGTACTGTTCTAATTGTGTGATGGTTTCAAATGCTCCACAAGAATAAAGTTTAAAAAGAAAGGTCTAGGGCCAGGGATTTAGCTCAGTGGTTCCGCCGCCTGCCTCACAAGCCAAGGACCCGAGTTCGATCCCCAGTACCCAAAAAAAAAAAAAAAAAGAAAGGTCTATTAGGTGTTCACTTAGCTAGATCTTAGGGTTTTGAAATGGCAGAGGCATGAGTAAAGACTTTTGGCTGAGAGAGACTTTTGATGTTTGTTCCCTCCCTTCTGTTATACTGCTCTGACAATATGTTCCGTTTCTTCCCATAGTTTATTTTACTGGCATGCTCGCGTGCACACGTGTGTGTGTGTGTGTGTGTGTGTGTGTGTTACTGAGGATTGAACCCAGAGACTTCACACTGAGCTACATCCCCAGCTCTTTTATATTTTTATTTTTATTTTATTTTTTATTGTTTGGTACTGGGGATCAAACTTGAGACCTTGAGCTTGTGAGACAGGCGGTGGAACCACTGAGCTAAATCCCCAGCCCTGTTAGCTTTTAATTTTCTGCAAAGGTAAGGAGGGAGAAAAACTATCCTAGTGTTGCCCACTAGAAACATGATGGGAGCCACATATATAACTAAATTTTCTGGTAGGTACATTATAAAAAGAAAGAAGAAATATGTGAAGTTAATTTTAATGGTTTATTTAACTCATTATATATTAAATGTTACCATTTCTATATGCAGTAAAAAATTACTGAGATAGCCATCCCTTGGTAACTGAATGACTGGTTCTAGAACCCACTATGGATTCCAAAATCTCTTCTATAAAATGATGTAGTATTTGCACATAACCTACACACATCCTCCCACATCCTTAAATCATCTCTAGAGTAATTACAACAACCAATGCGGTATAAATAGTTGTCATACTATATTATTTGGGGCAGCGATAGTGAATCTTTTAGCAACAAGTACCCAAACTGCAACCCAATACCCACTTAATCACCACAAAGTGCCAACACTGCAATTAAACTTGAATACTGATGTTTTAGTTTAGAAAAAAACAACTCATAAATTAACGTCTTTTGTCTTAAAAGAAACATAACACACATGCTATAGGTTTACCACCACTGGTTTAGGGAATAATAGAAAATAATTATTAGGGAATAGTTAATAATAATTAAGGAATAATTCTGTACATGTTCAGTATGTGTAAGTTTTTCCCCCAGTATTTTCATCCTGATGTTGGTTGAATTCATTAATGTGGAAACATGGCCATGGCAGAATGCCTGTATGCATTCATTTTATTTTGCACATCTTTGAGATCTTGTGTGTATTTTACACTTACAGTGCCTATGGTCCTAACATTCAGGAGGTTGAGATAGAAGGATCACCGTGAGTTTTACTTGTCTCAAAATAAAACAAAACAAAAAGATAGCTCAATTTGAATTAGCCACATTTCACATGCTTAGGAGCCACATGTGTATAGTGTTTGGCACATTGTCAGTGTAAAAAGTAGCATTTTTCTGGGTGTGGAGGCCTGTAATCCCAGCTACTTTGGACTCCTGGTGGTGAAAGGATTATAAATTCAAGGCCCACTTGGGCAATTTAGCAAGACCCTGTATCAAAATAAAATAACAAAGAGCTAGGAATGCGCTCAGTGGTAGAATAGTTGTCTAATATGTGGGAGACCCTAGGTTCAATCCCCAGCAGCCCTCTCCCTCCAGAAGGTACCATATTAAATAATACAAAGACCAAAATAAAAAGGTAGCTCTCCTTGATTCCAGCTATCCCCTGGCCTCAGCCCTCTGCATCTACTCTCCAGAGGACACTGCTGTTACCAGCTTCTTTTATGTCTTTCTGGTGTCTTCCAAGTCTATATAACACAGGCAAATGAAATATTATTTATCCCCTTTTCTTGGATAAATGGAAACAGTTCATTCAGACTCTGGTGCCAGGGATTGAACTCAGGATCTTGTGCTTTTAAGGCAAGCACAGTGCCACTGAGCTAAATTTCCCTGGCCCTCATTCAGATTCTTATTATCTTGCTTTTTTACCTGTTTCATTTGATGAATGTTCCAAGGATGCCTTATTATCCCTTGTAGGAGAACTTTGCCAGGTAAACCTTCTCCAAGTGTTAGGCCCATATACTTACACTCAGAAGTACATTTGAATGCCCAGCCTGGTGGTGTACACTTGTAATCCCAGCAATTGGGAGGCTGAGACAGAAAGATGGTTGTGAGTTTGAGGCCAGCCTGGGCAACATAACTAAGTTCAAGGGCAACCTAGACTACGTAAGCAAGAACCTGTCTCCAAAAAAAAAAGGAAAAAAGAAGTACATTTGACTCTAAGCACAAGGAGCCTTTAAGGGACACTACCCTCCTAGGTGTCGCATAGTAGCTGGGGAAAAGGTATCACATCTTTCAAACTGCTCCCAGTGTCCCAGACTGAAGGTCTCAGCCCGTCCTTGCTCTTTTGTGGTCCTGCAAAGGTAAGTCTGATCATCAGGTGTCCTGGTGGGCCACATTTCACTTGTGGAAGGTACTAGTGCCTCAGCCCCTGCCCCAATACAGCCCTCATGGAGTCTGTATGTGATCAGCTGGATAGTCTCATGGCTGGTGGTATTCTTGGGAGCGCCTGTCTGCTTCAGAAAGCTGAGGTTGGTGGTTAGGCAAGCACCCTGCTTCTGCCCTTCTCCCTGTCGGTGTCCACGTTCAAGGACTCCCAAACAAGCCACATCATGTTGGGTGGGACCCAGGGAGGAGCCCTGCCTTGTCAGGTCCTTACTCTGCTTTTCTAGGTGATCTCAGTGGCATTAGCCTTAGATTGCCTGTCTTGCTGGGAGACAGCTGGCAGAGCAAGCCCTTTGGCATTTGGACTGTCCCTTCTCTGAGTCAGGCTCCCTCCCTCTTTTGTTTCAGTCAACTCTTCACGAACTATCCTGGATGCAAATGAAGAATTTAAGTCCATGTCGGGTACCATCCAGCTGGGCCGGAAGCTGATCACAAAGTACAACCGCCGAGAACTGACGGACAAGCTTCTTATCTTTCTCGCCCTGGCCCTTTTTCTTGCTACTGTCCTCTATATTGTGAAAAAGCGCCTCTTTCCATTTTTGTAAGATCTGAGAGCTGCCACCTTTGGCCTCATCACTCTTGTTTTCCAATGCATCCAGGGTCAAAGCTCTAGCTAGGCTGCCAAACTGAGCCACATCCTCCACGTATGCTCTAGCTGGTCAGCAGGTCAGATGGGAGAAGACAGCTCCTCTGTTTTCTGAAAGTGTATGCCTTGCAAAATGCAAGCAGAGCAGTGGGAGATGAGGACCCCTACAGGACACGGTCAACTTGCCCAGCCGTCGGGCACTGTGGGTGACTGCTGCTTGGAGCACTTGGAGTCCAGCCCCTGAGATTTGTTGCTCCTCTCTCCCTCACACAGAGGCTTAAGGGCCAGATGTGGTAGAGGGGAGAGCAAAGAGGTGGGAAGAAGGAAGAGCTCCTGGTCATTCCTTGAAAACTTGACTCTATTTAGTAGAATGAAAGATGTTGAGTTTCACAAGATTCTGCTCTGGAAAATTATGTGCCTCTTTTCTGATTTCAAGGACACAAGCTTAGATATTATTCATTCACTGAACAAAGAATTAAGCAGATGCCACATGCCATGTGTCCTAGATACTGCTGAACATCACACATATACCACTAAACTGGACATTGTTCCTTTGTCAAGCAGCAACAGGAATAAGACCTCGCAGCTATTAGGAAGGGCAGTGCAAATGGCCTTCTGTTGGAGGTGGCTCATCCCAACTTCTGAAAATGCCAAGGTAGAGGTCTCATCCTCTGTTACACAGTACCCTAGTGGCTCCCGAGTGTGTAGTAACTAAAGCACCTTTTTCCCTGAGGATCAGACTGTGTATAATCAAAGGGAGAGAAGCCAATGAAAAGCTGAGGCCCATGTGGGCCCGAGTTCTATCAAGGCCAGCCTCCCCCACCCACTTACAGCCCCAGAGGACCTGGCAGGGTTATGTGGGAAAGTGGAAGGAATGAGGACTTGAAGGCTTGACTTGGTTTTGAGTTCAGCTATACTGTTAAACCATATGGCCACGAGCAAGTTACCTTCTGTCACAGCCTGAATTTCCCCATCTGTACAGTGGGGGTGATAGTCTACATAGACCCTTATAGAGTCAATTTGAAAGTTAAAGAGAATATAAGTACCAGGTGTAGTATCCTTACGACTGGGTCTGTGGTAGGCTTCCTAAAGGCTGTCACCTCAAAGGCTCTAGGCAGAGGTATCCTATAGCAGTCAGCCCAGGGACTTCTGGCCAGGCAGAGGCAGGGTATTTTTGGTGTGTGGGGGAGTTGTAGAAGTGGGGATTAAATATGGGGCCTTTGCATTGAGCCACATCCCCAGCAGTTTATTTTTTTGTGTTTTGGTACAGGGTCTTTGCTGTGTAGTTCAAGCTGTCCTTGAACTCACTATGTATCCCAGGGTGGCCTTGAACTTGCAGTCCTCCTGCCTCAGCCTCCTAAGTGCTTGGATTATCAGCATGTACCACTGTAACAGGCAGGCAGAGGCAGTTCTATTTAGATCTGTCTGAGCAGAAAGTGTCAAGTTAATGCCTCTGTTATGAAGGGATGCATCATTCTGGGACCAAGTTATAAGAGAGATTGGCTATGTACCTTAGACCAGCTTAATGAAGAGGTTCTGAGATAAAGTTTATTTCTATCACAGTATTCAACACAGTAGTCCACCTTCATCTTCAGTGATTATGTTTGAAGGCCCCAGTAGATGCCTGAAATCTTATGTAATACCAGGCCATATATACAAGCACCTCAATACTACAATAGTTGATCTGATAATTGAGAAGGCTGCTAAGGGACTAATGGGTTGGTAGCATATAGAGCATGGATACACTGGACAAAAGGATCATTCACCTGCTGGGAGGGATGGAACAGAATTTCTTCATACTACTTGGGTATGTGATTTAAAACTTAATAACTGTTCATTGCTGGAATTTTTCCATTTAATATTTTTTGACTAGTTGACCATGGGAAACTGAAACTGGAAAGTAAAACTGCAGATAAGGGGAGACCACAGAACATCTCTCTCTCTCTCTCTCTCTCCCCCTCTCTCTCTACACACACACACACACCCACACACACACCCACACACACACCCCCCATCCTTAAATAATTCCTGGCCCCAAAAGACACTCAGCAGAAATTATACACACATGTGTCTTATTTATAGTCAAATTAAAGCTTAGAATAAGACACAGATGGGAAATTCCCACTCAGATACTCAGATTCCAGCTGTAAGTGCAGCAGATGGATGTTATCAAGTCAGGATTTTCTTGTCTTAACATTTCTCTTTAGTACATCCCGCTAATTGTCAACATCCTCCTCACAATATGGAAATGTTTGGGCTCTGTACTCCCTAAAAATTCTCCCTTTGACACTTTATACCTCTTTTATTTGCCTCCTGAAAATAGAGTCAAATTTGATCCATTTGGAAATGTCATCAATATATTTTCCAACCCCCATCAGCCACCAGGTTTAAGTCTTTCCTAACCAGGCTGGCTGTCCAGAAAGCAGCCCTTCCATGTTCAACCATGAGGGGGCAGTGTCCACATTTGGTCTGTGGTTTTGCAGTATGTCTGATGGTCTCCATCTGACCATTTGAAAGACTGTTATGGATGCTTTTTTTTTTTTTTTGTACCGGGGATCGAACTCGGGTCCTTGCACTTGTGCAGCAGGCAGCGAAACCACTGAGCTAAATCCCCAGCCCGTGGATGCTTTTTTTAAATACACAGTTACGGATTTTTTTAAAAAACCTAAATATATGAAGTCTACATATGTGTTGGTTTTGGAGCATGTTTCATAAATGACCTTAATTCTCATTGTTAAGCAGTAAGTCAAGCTCATTATGGTTACATGCAAAGCTACATTTTAGTTAGCTGACAGTCAATTAAAAATACAGAGCAGCCCTCGAGAGTAGTCACTGAAGAAATATTTGAGCCCCTACTGTGTGCCAGGCATTTGTGTTGGTAATACACAGTGGACAAAACAAAGATGGAGCTTACTTATGGTGTGTGGGGAAGGGAGAGCAGATGATAAACAATTTATAAACTAAATAAGTCATTATGTAAGAAAATACAGCCATCCTTGAGTATGCTTGGGTTCCACATTTGTGAATTCAACCAGCCTTGGGCGGAAAATATTTAAGAAGTAATTGCATGTGGCTATCTTTTTCTTGTCATTATCTCCTAAGCACCATGATACAACAACTATTTACATAGTACATATATTATCTTGAATATTATAAGCCATCTAGAGATGATTTAAAGTGTACAGGAGAATATGCATAGGTTCTGTCAAATACTATGTCGTTTCATATAGGAGACTTGAGTATCTATCCCCTGTGGCTACCAAAGGATGACTGTAAGCACCGTGGAAAAGATGGAGCAGGCTATAGACACCTGCCACATGGTTGTGTGGGAGGTTTGCAATATTAAGAAGAGCTGTTAGGGTTGGCCTCACTGGAGTGTGATGTGAGCAGAGACTGAGGCAGAGTCATGTGAACAGCTAAGGGAACAGAGTTCCACCAAGAGGGAACAGCAAGTGCAAAGGCCAAGTTAGGAGCATTGGTGGTAATGTGTGAGGAACAGTGAGGATCCTCACCCTGCCATGCTTCCCCTTGTGTGGGTCAGCACAGCAGCAGTTGACCCTCTGGACATTGGTTTGTCTAGAAGCCTCCCTCCCCAGTGATACCACACTCACTTGATTTTCTTTTCGTTTCTATCTCTCTCTCTTTTTTTTTGCCAGTACTGGGGATTGAATCCAGGGCCTTCCCACTAAATGACATCTCCAGCCCTTTTTAGTTGTTGAGACATGCTATCTCAGAGTTGCTAAGGTGCCAAAGCCGGACTCAAACTTACAATTCTTGTCTCAGCCTCCCAGAGTCCTGTAACACTCATTCTTTTCTTCTCCTCCTCCTCCTCCTTCGCCTCCGCCATTCGGCCTTAAATGGCATCTTAGATCTTGTTTCCCCTGCTGTCTCTTGCATGCTCTTGTCCATGTCCCTACAGCTTTAACCATCACCTGTAGAGATGTCATTAATAATTTCTGAATTTAGAGCAGCAGTGTTGACTCCTCAGGAAGCTGAGGACTCCTAGATCATCTGCATGGCAGTGTCCCTGAGTCTTCTCAAACCTCACTTGGGCCTGATTGCTCCCACCAGCCCCACAGCCTGGACCTCCTTGGGATTCCCTGTGTTCCCAGAACACTTCTGCTTCCTGAGTTCTATTGGGGCTCAGGACACACTACCCCAACATGACTCTGTGGGAGCAAAATATACCACACCAAAGTATACTCCTCGGGCATATTTTGAGCGGTCATGCTGGGAAACCACAGACCCTGGAGTAACTCAGAAAAGCTGTCCTTTTGCACAAGACATTTACATCTCAAGTAAATCTACATTCACGGATACCTTTATGGGGAAGAGGGCTGATGGAGACAACTCTGACTGAGAGATTTTATCTGCATCAGAGCACATTTAGTCACCACACACTTCCTTGCCCTCACATGATCCCCCAGAAGCCCCAAGCCCCTGCTCCTTAATGTAGCTCAATTCCCTGGCCCTTCTAGTCTTAATTATTTTGCAGTACGCTTGCATGTGTATTCATAATCAAGTATGGTTGCTCTTCTGTTAGTCTGATTTATGTCTTTAACTCACAGCCCAGCCCATCCAAAGACCTAGAAGGGTAAAGGGAAGCCTTGTTTTGCTCCACTGGCATTCCTTTTCCCTTCCCTAAGCCCATGGCCTGTTACCTTGTCCCTCAGAACCAGAAGAGGTTTCACTTTATGCAGCAGACACATGTCAACACTGTTCTGAAAAGAAGGTCTGGATGCAGTCTTTGTGTTGGCCAAAAATGCCCTGCTGGAAGCAGTTCTGCCAGAGCACTCAATTTGGAGATGCTTCTAGGGAAAAAGATAGTTCAATAACGAATTTTTAAAAGAGTAAAACAAGTTCTTTTTTCCTCCTTGGCTAATGGTGGTCTTCCCTGGGGCCCTCCCTGAGGGTTTGCCCAAGCTCTGTTTCTTCCCTAAGCAAGGGCAGAATAAAAATAGCTGAGGGCTAATCTAAGAGATAGCAGAGGGGTGGCTCAGCAGTGTTATCAGGAATGAAGGGCTGCAGCCTGGGGGCAAAGGGAGGGGGTTAGTGATATCACCCCCAATGTCCCTTGGTTCCCAATAGCAGGCCCAGGGCAACATCCTGAGCCCTAGGACCCCTGGTATTGGGCAAGGTATTGGATGTGTTACAACTTTAATGGGCCATAATGCCACGTTCAAAAGTGTGGCCTTCAGTGGCAGAGACGCAGGTTCTCATTATACTCTTCCTGGCTGTATGTTTCTGAGCAAGAGAATACCCTCTCTGTTGTTTCCTGTCTGCAACACCAGGACAGCTGGACAGTAGCACCCTCTTAGGGGTACTGGGGGCTACCCCCACCCAGAGCTCATATGCTGCCTCCCAAACTGTTACCTTGAGGGCCGACATCTTCACTTCCAAACAAAAGCCAAATGGCCTTATTCCCTCTTTCTCTTCTGGACCTAATGTTGAGAAACTGCTTAGTAAAGAGGAGGATGCTGGAGTGGCAAGGAATCAGGACTCAAGCAGGAATTAGAGCTCCTCACATGACAAAGAGCTGAGGGCAGACCCTGCAAAAGGGCCCATCTTTCCCATGCTAGGGGGAAAGTCAGTGGGTGGAATTAGCTCTATGTGGAACATCCTCTTATCATTATTAAATATTTGTTTCCCCCTCACTCCCCCGTGGACTTGTTCACTGGCAGAGAGTTCTCCTAGATCAAATGGATCCACAGGGTAGCAAATGCATATGGACTGAGGCATGAGCTATGGCCAGTTTTAATCTGTTAGCTTGATTGGTACAAAAAAAAACCCCAAAAAACAAAAAACCCAAAAGTGCTCCTGGCAGAAATTTCATAGCTTCTGTGAAAAGTATTCTTGGTTTCAGTGAGATGACTTTTCCATGGTGTTCTTTGCCTCCTTGAACAAGTTATGGAACCAGTTGATTAGAAGACCAAGAGAGTGTGAACTGTTACTCCTCAAACTCCTGGCTGCTTCCCTGAAAGGCCTCCCCTCCCCACCCATCCCACTCCCTTACTGGGTAGGTGATCAGCGACACTCACTCTGGTGAGTCCTGGGGGAGTCCAGAATAACTTCTTTGAGTCCCTTATAAAGGGTGAATAGTAGTTAGAATTAATGACCAGCTACTCTATTGTGAGTGGGATCCAGTAGCAATATTTGGTGAGATGTTTCAGTGTGATGATGAAGTTAATTTGCAGTGGGGGCTGTGTGTGTGTGACAGCATCACTGTGTGGCCCCAGATTGGTCTCAAACTACTGGGCTAAGTGATCCTCTTGCCTGAGCTGCCTGAGGGTTGGGACTACAGGCATGTACCACCATGCCCAGCTCCATCTTACTAGTTACTGAGCACTTACTATTTGCCAGACACTGTGCGTATTCCGTCTAATCCAGGAATTCTATAAGGTAGGCAGTGTTATTATAGCTGAGATGGTGGGGGCCCAGAAAAGTCAAGGAACCTACTCAAAGTCACATAGCTAGTAAATGGTGGATATGGGTCTCAAATCCAGGAAGCTGGGCTCCACAGTCTCTGGAGTTCCATCATCAGCAACAATGAATAAGGCCAGGGAAGCAGAGGGACTGGCCTCTGTCAGTACAGATTCCATTCTGCAACCATGATGAAGTAAAAGGGAGGGATCCCTGTGAGGAAACCTGTTCAGGTTTGGGGAAGGAGGCATCACATAAGCAGGAGGGAATCCACTGACCCATGTAACGAGCAATCCAGGAGCAAACAGTGTTGGGCACAGCTCAGCCAGTCTTCCTAATGACAATGTCATTAGGAACTTCATCTCTCCCCTCTGTCTTCCTCCATAAGGACTCTACCTCTGTGGCAGTTCTCCTCCTTTCTCCATACAACAGCCCCAGACTTACTCCATTTAGCCTGAACCCCAGAGAAAGAGACAGAGCCTTTTCCCTAAGAGTTTCTGGGAACTCCTTCAGTCCATGGATCTTGTGGGCAGGAAGCAGGGACACCTTGATTGGTCAAGTCTGAGTCTTGTGTCCAGCAAAGATGCGAGGTCTTCCCTACTGCAATCAATCACCGAAAGAGGGTGGTTCCCAAGGAAATCCAGGTGCCATTATCAAAAGGAAGGTCAATGGATGAAAAGGAGTTGGCAGAAAAGAACCATGAGAGTAGGGAGGGACACTGGAGAGGGAGCTGGGAGCAGTGAGGCCCAGGAAGCAAGCAGAGTGCTGGCTGGAGGTATCAGGGACCAGGAGACCAAGGAAGCTGAGGTCTGAGGAGACACCACCCATGGTGAGACAGATTAGGTTGTGGCCAGCCAGCTGGGCAAATGGGCATGGCTCATGAATCATGAGATCCAGGACACGGAAAAAAAACAGTTCCCAAACCCAGCACCTGGGACCAATCAGAAAGCGCTATCTTTAATTATTCTGATGGGAGATCAAGCAGGGTTTTCATAGGACAGCCTAGATCTGAGCTTTCTCATGGCCTGCTCTCACCCTGCAGAGCATACTTCTTTTAAAACCTCACTACCTTTTGCATGTGTCTTGTCCAGTTCTTTGTTCAGAACACCTAGAACCTGGAAAGAACCCCTGGAAAGAACCCACAACACTGCAAACCCACAGTGACACTGGGATGCCCTGCCTACTGAGCATTTTCAGTGGGTGAAGAAGACAGAGAGTAGCCTGCCATCAGTGTGGAGTGTTCTGTCAGAGAGTCAGCGTGGCATAGGCAGGAGAGAGGCTGAATGAGAGAGGGTGAGGGTAACTCAGAAAGGCATTTTGCAAAGCAATAAAAGGGAGTTTACTGGGTAAGACTAGGGTGATTCCTCAGAGATTAAACATGAAGTTAACCTATCATCCAGCAATTCCACTTTTGGTTATATAGTCAAAAGACTTGAAAGCAGAGACTAGGACAGATACTCTTTTACCGGTTCTCAACAGCAGCATTATTCACAATAGCCAAAAGATGGAATAGTCAAATTAACAGAAAGAGACAGTAGAATGGTGGCTACCTGAGGCTGGAAAGAGGAGGGAGTTATTGGGGAATCTCAATTAGGGATGATGAAAAATTTTGTGGATGGATGATGGTGATGGTTGCAAAACAATGTAAATGTACTTAGTGCCACTGCACTGCACACTTAAAAATAGTTAAGACGAAGTCCAGCAAGTTGGTGGACACCTGTAATCCCAGCTACTCAGGAGGCTGAGCCAGGAGGATTAAAAATTCAAGGTCAGCCTGGGCTACTTAGAACCTATCTCAAAATACAATTTAAAAAAGACTGGGATGGGGCTGGGGATTTAGCTTAGTGGTTCTAGGGCCTGCCTCGAAGGTGCAAGTTCAATCCCCAGTACCAAAAAAACCCCCAAAAAACTGGGGTGTAGTTCAGTAGTAAAAATGGCCTGGATTTTATCCCCGGTGCAAAAAAAAAATTAAATTAAAAATTTACAAAAAAAATATTTTACAGCTGTAGTTGGTTCTGATTTTTAGTTGCTTCCACACTCCCAGAACAGCACCATCAGGCAGTGCCCCTCCCCGAATCCGAATCCAGAAGTCTCCATTCTCTATTCACTTCTTCCTGCTTTCCACCAGTTGTAAGAGTGGGAGGGGCTTCCTGTAGTTACTATCTTTGCATTACTTTTGGATTCACGTTTGTTTTGCCTCTTGCTTCCTCCAACATGTTTCTTCTTTGGATGAAATTCTCTATACTAGGAAAAATAGGCCAATTTTATGTTCTGTATAAAATGGCAAAGTATTTGCTTAGAACCTACGCACATCCTCCCACATACTTCAAACCATCTCTAGATGACTTTAATACCTAATGCAATGTAAATGCTGTGTAAATCCATGTTTAGGGAACAATCCAAAAAAATGTCTGTGTGTGTCTGGTACAGATGCAGTTTCCCCCTGTGTATTATTCCATAATTGGTTTAATCTGCAGGTGCAGAACCCCTTGAATATAGAGGGCCACCTCATATTTTATTGCAATAATTTTTGTTTGTTTGTTTGTATTTGAGACAGGATGTTGCTATGTAACCTAGGCTGGCTTCAACTCACCATTCTCCTTATTCACCCCCTCACTTCTGCAGTTACAAGTGTGTACCACCACACCTGGCTATGATGATTTGTTTATTTGGGTGGGATTTACAGGGAACCTAGTAGGGTGATTTGGGGGTTAAAGGGTGAACTGTGGAAACCTGGGCAGCTCAGGGACCAGGTCCTGACTTGGGATTCTGCTCTTGGCTACCTCTTATCTCTGCTCTTTTCCATAAGCAGCTTCATCTTCTCAGCCACATTAAGAGGACAAAGGTAGCTTTCCCAAACCTAGTAAGAAAGTTTCCAGGGAAGGATGCATGGGATGCAGAAGTTTGAAATCTGCAAGTCATATTCAAAAGCTCTCAGCCAAGGATTTAGCTCAGTAGTTCCACCCCCTGCTTTGCTAGCATAAGGTCCCAAGTTCGATCTCTGGTACCAAAAAAAAAAAACCAAAACATATTCAAAAGCTCTCATTTCCTATATCATCACCTCAAAGGGATTGACCATTTTGTTTCCAAAATGACCTTCCCTTTTCCTACTGGCCTGATTTGGCCTTGGATGGCTTACTGTAAATCTTTTAAAATGGTCTTCCTAGCTCAGGCTGAAGGGAAAGGCTTATTTAAGGTGAAGAAAACTAACACATTCCAAGACTGTGAGGGGAAAGGAGAGTAACAGTGAGAACAGCAGATTGAGTGAGGTCATGGATAAGGAAAGAGGAGACGGGGCCTCCAGCTCAGTGGAGGGTGCACCATGGGAAGGAAGTTCAAGTTCTGCTCTAAGGGCATTTGGCGTGCATCTTTTGTCTCAGTTTCCCCGTCACAAGGAGATAACATCTGCTGGGAGTAGAGGGTCCAAAGCAGATTTTAGTGCTGTGAAGACAGATGGAGGCGGTGGGTGGGATAACTGGGTAATGTTAGGGTGCCAGAGAGGTTCTTGGGAAATTTGTTCAGGAAAATACTGTGTAATCATTGAAAATATGTGTGCAAATTTGTTGACATTGCTCCTATTAAATTTGGAGCCTAAGCCCTCTGCCCTTGAATATGAGTTGACTTCAGTGATTTGCTCCTAATAATAAACAGCAGTACGTATGATGCTGTGTGATATCCAAGAGTAAGTAATGAGGTAATATAGCAGCCACTTGGCTATTGAGACATGAGCTCATGGAACCCAGCCACCATGCGGTGAGAAAGCCCAGGCCACATAGGGAGTTCACTCACTAGTGTTCTAGCTCAGCTGAGGTCCTTGCAACAGCCAGCATCAGATGTTAGATATGTGAGAGAGGAAGCTTTCTAAATGATTCCAGTGCCAGCCACTACTGCATGAGTGACCCCCAGTGAAAAATGGGCAGCTGAGCCCAGTCAATTCCCAGAACCATGAGAGAGAATAATACTGGATGAATGTGGTTATTTGATACCAGCAAATTTGGGGTAATTTGTTATGCAGCACTAGATAACTATAGCATGCTGTTACTACTCTCAGAATATCACTTTCTCTTGTTGACTTTGTCTTCATTGAGTAAACATCAACTTTTTTCTTATAATAAAAGTGATACAAAAAATTTTTTAAAAGTGACACAGGCTCATTTTTAAAAATTCAAAAAAGCTATGGTTTTAGCTCAGTGAAGCACAAGGTCCTGAGTTTGATTTTCGGTACTCAAAAAAAAAAATTCAAAAAAGACTGTAAAATGCTAAAGAAGAAAGATCATCTGAAGACACATTATCCAGATACAATAACTTGTACTAGGTAGGTGCTAATAAATGTACTGATTGGGTAAATGAACTGGTGGGTAGAGCACATTT